TAGAAATGACGAAGAATTTCCGCTTCCTGGGGTGAGCGCTTCTTAAGAAAACCCTGTCAGTTCACAGATTAGTACATTACTTAAACTTATCAGCACACCAGGAAAATGGGATACAAGTTTGTAAAATACCTAATGATTATATTGTACTTATACAATGTTTCAGGCCTTGCTAGAAAATTTTTCACATTTTGTGAAATGGGGAGTTGTTTTCATTTAACCCTGAAAACAACTCCATGTAGTAGGAACTGTCATTATCCCTCTCTTACACATAAGGAAACTGAGGCCCAGAGCGTTTAGGTGACCCACTCAGGATCCCTCACCTGGTAGGTGACCAGGCCAAAATTCAAACCCAGGGAGTGGCTCTGATATCTCCATATTTGGCTACTACACTAGACATATGCTCAGGACTCAGAGCCAAGATAGAGAAATAGTCTTCGACTCTTGATTAAAATACGCCCTGAGAAAGTGAGGAAGTATATATATGGAAATAACTTAGGGGGGAAAAAAATAAAGGATTAAAGATGAAAAAGGAAACTCGTTCCTTCTAAGTTATTAATAAGCAATGTAGAAAAGTGTCAAGGAATATTCATAGAAGTGGAGAATTTAGTCATTTTTGGACTCCACTATTAAGAAAGTGCATGTCATTCGTAACAAAATACCACTTAACACATAACGTTTTCTTGAGGGAAGGACAATTCTCTTCAGGTCAGGGATCAGCTCATTCTTCACCTCAAATAGTCCAAGAAACAATTAGAGACTCCGAACATAAAGCAATAAAATGTTGGTACTGAATTATTCATTAGTTCATGAATTTACCATGATTCCACCTCGACAAAAACATAACACAGCACTCCTGAGTTGATGGAACCCAAAAGCGACATTTACTAGGGCAGGTAAGCAGCTCGGCTTCCTGAAGCTGACAGGTTCCCATTAAACCACTTTCCAATCACTCTGCCCTCTAGTCAGCCTCTCAGAGCTGCCGTGCACCGCTCTAAACATCTCCTGCCTGATTCTTCCTGAGCCTGGTTGACTCCTAACCAAGGAAGAAAGTGCACCATTTAAAAGTCTATAAAAATATTTTAGGTAGGTGTAGCATCACCGCAAAGGCTTTATCCACCTTTACCATGGATAGACTGCAGTATACTTTGTAAATAGCAATCCTAAATATTCATTAGCTTGTCGTGTAAAAGTATTTTTCAAAAATGTTTGTAAAATTGAAGTATTTTAGAAGAAATCACATAAATACATCTTCACCTGTATCTTGCTGTATCTCTGTGGTTACTAAGGTTGCGTGGGGAAAATAAAAATATATTATGGTGCTTTAAAAAAAGAAAATGTCCTAGGTCCCCTCCCAGTGATTCCAACGTGGTAGAACTGGAGTGAGAACCAATCGTCTGTATATTAAAGAACTGTCCTGGTGATTACTTTTGCACAGTCAGGGTTGAAACCCTCTGCTTTAATGCTCCTTAATGAATGGATCATTCCATTATGAAATCTGAAACCTTTAGAAGAATTTTTAGTGACACATTCAACATTCAACTATATGTCATTATCATTATGCTATATAATCCCTTCTTCCTCATACCAAATCTAAATCTTTTTGTAACCCAGAGCTATATAAATTCTGGAAATGCATCAATATAAAAATTAAGATATCTCCATTTAGAAGTAAAAGTACAAAAATATAATGGCAGTATAAAATAAGCATCTACTTTATTTAAATTATGAATTCATAAGTGTTCAATCAAAATTGTTTTCAAAATACTCATATAAATAAAAATAATAAATTCAACAAACTATGTCACAAAAGATTTTCCACATGGCTTATCTAATAAGCATTCTGCCTTACATTATAATATTTATTTAGTAAAAGACCTAAGCATTCAAGGCATTTAATTATAATTCTAATCAATATATTGTAGCCTATATTGGTGGTAATAAAATAATTTAGCTAAACATGAGTTGAAGAGATTATTATGCAAAATATTATTTCTACATACAAACTTAAAACTAATATTATGACTACGGCGTCTCATAAAGATTCCTTACATGCAATTTTAATAAACTGTCTTCAAGTTAATATTCTAAGTTGGTTGTTCCCAAACTTTATATGAATGAGTGCCTTTTAAAAATGTCATGAATCCTCAAAGTTATGAAATTAAATTTGACTTATTCAGCCTTCAGAGAATTTGGTAAAATTATTGATTCATACAGGTCTGGCAATGACTCTATATGAGTTGGAAATCCCAGTTTTAAAGTGATTTGAAGAGAATTGAAGGAACTTGTTGGGGGTAATAAGGGTTTGAATATTATCCCAGTGCATTCAAGGATCTTCCATAACCATTAACATAAAAAAGCAATTACACTGCCATCTGAAAAAAAAAGAAAAATTGGCATACACACTACAAGAATGCTGAAGGATCTGTTTTCCTTTTTAATTATACAAAAGAAGGATTCAATTATACCTCAAGAATAGGACTCCAATCAAGGATAGAAGAGCTCATGAAAACCATTCCATTTCTTGAGACGGTAGCAGGAGAAGCATTGTCAATGTTATGAGGCTCGAAAATAATCTTGCAGTTGGGAGCCATGGGGATGCGGTCTCCATTGGCAAGGGTGAGGGTTTTGTTATCATCCAACACGGAGTTCAGATTTTCAATCCAGATGGCATCTACTGGACCATCAAGAACTATCCAGATATGTTCCCCTAGAACGCCCCACCAGAGGGGAGGGGGAGAGCAGACATACACACACAGGCATACATTGTAAGTTAATGTCATTTTCATTAAATTTCTTTTTGAGACGGAGTCTCACTCTGTTGCCCTGGAGAGAGTGCTATGGTGTTATGATAGCTCACAGCAACCTCAAACTTGGGCTCAAGCAATCCTCTCGCCTCAGCCTCCTGAGTAGCTGGCAATAACAGGTGCCCATCACGACGTTCAGCCAGTTTTTCTATTTTTAATAGAGATAGGTCTTGCTCTTGCTCAGGTTGGTCTCAAAGCCCTGAGCTCAGGTAATCTAGCTGCCTCAGCCTCCCTGAGTGCTAGGATTACAGATGTGAGCCACCACGCCCAGCTCAATTTCATTAATTTTTAAACAAAGCTTTGATAGAAATGATTGCCTTATTTCATCACATAGGACCTTTTCAGTTCTTTACGTAGCCTTTATGTTCAAGGCCCATAACCATTTAAGTCATTTGTTCACTGAACTCATATCCACTGAGCACCTTCTGTGTGTCAGATCTGTTCTAGGGGTTAGTTTAGAAAACAAGACAATATCCCACCTCATAGAACTTACATTCTAAGTGGTAGAGATGACCAGAAAACAAATTAAAATGTGTGTAAGATTAGTAAAATCAAGAAGGACAACAGCCTGGGGAACTGTCTCAGGAAAGATGGCCAAAGAAATATTTTAAAAGGAGAATGAAGTGATGTAAAGATCTACAGGTAGGCTCTTCCAGACAGTGGGAACAGAAAGCACAAAGCCCCAGATGCAGGCACAAGCTCAGCGTCATACCAGGGACTGAATGTTTATGTCCCTCAAGCCCATCTGTGGAAATCCTAATCCTCAAGGCGATGGTCTTCAGGGACCAGCATCTGGGTCATGCAGGTGCAGCCCTCGGGAATGGAGTAGATGATTCTGTACAGAGAGCCCAGAGAGTTCCCTTCCCTTCGGCTATGTCAGGACACCTGAGCAGTCAGCCAGGACTTAGCAAAATGCTAAGCATGCTGGTCCCTGGTATCAGACTTGTAAATGCCTGCTGTTTACAGGCCACCGGGGCTACGGCACTCTGCTGTAGCAGCCCAGATTGACTAAGGTGACGGTGCTCCAGGAACAGTTAGAAAGTTGACCCTCAATAGCAAAAAGGCAGAGGAGGGAAGATGAATGTGAGCGCAGTGGGAAGGCAGAGTGTGGGAAGGCAGAGCAACGCAGTCACTCTGGTTTGCTCACTTTAAGTCTGAGGCAGCCAACAGAGATCCCAGCAGAACTGCTGAGTTGGGAATTCATGGCAGGGGTCGGGGCTAGAGATTCCAATGTGAAAACCATCGGAATAGAGACCGGGAGTGAAAGCCAGGGGACTGGGAAAGAGACAAGAGGTCTGAGGACAGAGGTGTGGTGACCTTTAGACTTCTGCCACAGACCCCTTTTCTTGGCTCCTCCTTCTCGGACTTCTCAAAGAAGCAGAGGTGGGAAAGAGACAATTGGACCAGGAAACCCCGGAGCCACCAGACAGAAGGGTTTCGAGAAGGGAGGTGACGACTGTGCACTGCTGAGAGCAAGACGGGACTGAGAATTGGCAGTTTGCATTTGACCAGCTGGAGGTCCTAAGTGCCCTTGATAAAGCAGTTCAGAAGGTCATTGTGGACAAAATCTGACAGGCGTCATTTAAGGAGACGACTTGGAGGTGGAGAAAATGACAAACAGCAGCAAGATGCTCCAACAAGAATGCTGTTATGTTATAAATTAGGCCCTTGAATGAATAGTAACGTTCCTCTTAATTTCTTATCTACCAGCTGCTCTTATTCACAGACACTCTGACCGAGTCTGTAGGTTGAATTGTTATTTGCTATGCAACAACTATGGAAGAGTCTATTTAAAAAAAAATAAATAACTTTCAAAATCCTAATCAAACTCATTCAGCTGGCAATTCAAGTAAAATGATGATGTAATCACCAGTCACTTTGAAAGGAAAAGTATCTGTTGCCTTTTATGTGGGGAAAGAAAAAAACTTTTCTGAGCTCCTATTCTTGAGGGAGCATTTGGTCGCTGGGGGCATGATTACACAAGATTTCTGGAACAAATCAGAAGCAAAATTTGATTTCGTTTCCAATAGAACAGCAATTTCTAATATGAGCACACTTTAGAAGGTAAGTATGTTCATTTTTCTTTTGACAATGTTAAGATGGCCAGACACATTCCTTATAAAAACTTTAATGGAGCTACCTTAAACTTTTCTTGGTATAACAGGGTTGCCCAAATGGTAGACCCAGGAAGGAAGCCCAGGCGTCTCCTTCCTCTCTTGTGTTACTGCTCCCAGCATTATTTTCACTGGGACTTTCTGCTTCTCACTCAGGAGGGAAGAAACCCCATGAGAGCAGAGCTGTTATCACTTCTTCCCCCTGAGCTTATATTCCAAGAACATTGTGTTAAATGGACAGAGTCCGTCAATGAGAGGCTATTCAGACTGAACCGTTACCTCTTAATGAGTTTAAACAATCAAACACCAATATCCATCTGTACAGAATAATTGGTTAGGTTGACGTAGACTTCATGTTTGATATACACAATTTTCTCCTTAAAACCTCAAAACCATTTTCTCTTATGATTTTATAAGGGAATCAGTTGTGTTGTTGTTTTTTTTTAATAAGCTATCCTACAAGAGTAACATTTGTAGAACATCCAGTGAAACTGGTTATAGTAAAATCATCATATTCAATGCTATCCATTTTCCTTAACAGTTTTTTCTATTTTCATTTTATGCGACGATATCACAGGATGGCAGAAATATTTTTTCAAAATTTTATTACAAAAGAGGGGACTTAAAATATGCTAATCAATGTCACTATATATTTGAACATATATCACAAATATCATACTAATTCATGATTTCTTAATCTTGGTTAAAATTTTATAAGGAGAATATAGTCATTTTACTAATCTGATACATCCACCCAGGATTTAATTCAGAAGTCAAAAATAATACTTGTAGTTTATCTTCTACCTTTCTTTGCTCTCAATGTTTTCCTCCAAAGGGTAGAAAATATCCCATCAGTCCAGTCATTGGTGGCCACGTCAAGCCGACCGAACATCTGTGGGGCAGTCACTGCTTTGGGATTCATCCTCATCTCCCGGTGTGGTTTTCCACAATCTAAGCCAAGAAAATCCAAATTTTAAACATCTCAGGTGTGACGTGGACCATCAGTAAGCAATAATGCACTAATCTGGGGTGTACTGTAGGCAGATGCTCGAAATATTTTTAAAAATGCAAAATTGCATTGAAAATATGTCTCGCTGCATTCCAAGTTACTTTACTAATTAAAGCAACTTTTTTATGTTCTAACAAAAAATTGCTTAGGGGAGAAAGGATACCATACTAGAAGGTACTAATATAATAAATTCTCTACATTTCACAGCTCAAAAAAAAAAACTTTGTTTTAGATTAGATTAAGTCTTACACCTGAACTATCACCTAGAAGAGACCTCATCCTCTGCATGATCAACTTTAACTTGCTGACAAGTTGTCTTACTCACCTTGACAAAGATAAGCTAAATAAATTTTGTAGGAATCAAAGACTTTTTTGTGGCTAAACTCAAGAAACATATTCAAATTTTTCAAATGTTAAACCTATTCTTAAATGGGCTGAGATTCTGTGCATAAGAGATTGTGGCTATTTGAAAATATCCAGCATCCCCTCATGATCAGAACACTTAAGAAAATTGGTATAGAAGAGACATTTCTTAAACTGATAGAGGCCATCTACAGCAAATCCACAGCCAATATTGCATTGAATGGAGTTAAGTTGAAATCATTTCCACTCGGATCAGGAATTAGGCAAGGTTGCCCATTGTCTCCATTGCTCTTTAACATTGTAATGGAAGTTTTAGCCATCGCAATCAAGGAAGAAAAAGCGATTAAAGGTATCCATATAGGGTCAGAAGAGATTAAACTTTCACTCTTCCCAGATGATATGATTATATATCTGGAAGATACCAGGGATTCTATTACTAAACTCTTAGAAGTAATCAAGGAATACAGCAGCGTCTCAGGTTACAAAATCAACACTCATAAATCAGCCTTCATATACACCAACAGCAGCCAAGCTGAAAAAACAGTCAAGGACTCTATTCTGTTCACAGTAGTGCCAAAGAAGATGAAATATTTGGGAGTTTACCTAACAAAGGACATGAAGGTTCTCTATAAAGAGAACTATGAAACTCTAAGAAAATAAAAAGCTGAAAATGTTAACAAATGGAAAAACATACCATGCTCATGGCTGGCAAGAATCAACATTGTTAAAATGTCAATACTACCCAAAGCAATATATAATTTTAATGTAATCCCCATTAAAGCTCCACTATCATACTTTAAAGATCTAGAAAAAATAATACTTCATTTTATATGGAATCAGAAAAAACCTCAAATAGCCAAGACATTACTCATAAATAAAAACAAAGCAGGAGGAATCACGTTACCAGACCTCAGACTATACTATAAATCAATAGTGATCAAAACAGCATTGTACTGACTGGCACAAAAACAGAGAGGTAGATGTATGGAACAGAATAGAGAGCCAAGAGATGAATCCAGCTACCTACCATTACCTGATCTTTGACAAGCCAATTAAAAACATTGAGTGGGGAAAAGATTCCCTATTTAATAAATGGTGCTGGGCTAACTGGTTGGCGACCTGTAGAAGATTGAAACTAGACCCACACCTTTCACCATTAACTAAGATAGACTCTCACTGGATTAAAGACATAAACTTAAGACTTTTTTACATGAAACTAAAAATACTAGAAGAAAGTGTAGGGAAAACACTTGAAGAAATGGGCCTGGGCAAAAATTTTATGAGGAGGACCCCTCGGGCAATTGAAGCAACATCAAAAATACACTTTTGGGACCTGATCAAACTAAAAAGCTTCTGCACAGCCAAGAACACAGTAAGTAAAGCAAGTAGATAGCCCTCAGAATGGGAAAAGATATTTGTAGGTTATGTCTCCGACAAAGGCTTAATAACCAGAATCCACAGAGATCTCAAACGTATTAGCAAGAAAAAAACAAGTGATCCCATCTCAGGGTAGGCAAGGGATTTGAAGAGAAACTTCTCTAAAGAAGATAGGCTCATGGCCTACAGATATATGAAAAAATGCTCACCATCCTTAATCATCAGAGAAATGCAAATCAAAACTACCTTGAGGTACCACCTAACCCCAGTAAGATTAGCCCATATCACAAAATCCCCAAACCAGAGATGTTGGCGTGGCTGTGGAGAAAAGGGAACACTTCTACACTGCTGGTGGGAATGCAGACTAGTTTGTTCCTTTTGGAAAGACATCTGGAGAACACTTAGAGAACTAAAAATAGACCTGCCATGATACTATAATTCCTTTATTAGGCATATATCCAGAATACCAAAAATCACATTACAACAAAGATGTTTGTATCAAATGTTTATTGCAGCCCAATTCATAATTGCTAGGTCATGGTAGAAGCCCAAGTGCCCATCAATTCAGGAATGGATCAATAAACCATGGTATATGTACACCATGGAATATTATGCAGCCATAAAGAAAAATGGAGACTTTACCTCCTTCATGTTTACATGGATGGAAGCTGGAAAATGTTCTTCTTAGCAAAGTATCACAAGAATGGAAGAAAAAGTAACCAATGTACACAGCCCTAATTTGAAACTAAATTATAGCTTTCATAGGAAAGATTTAACCTAATTATAGCCTTAGAATATGGGGGGGGAGTGAGAGGAGAGGTGGGGGTAGGTGGGTGGAGGGAGGGTGATTAGTGGGGTCACCACTATGGTTTATCTTACAAGGGTACAAGTGAATCTTTCTAAAAGCAGAGTATGAATGTCTTAATAACTAAGAAAATGACACGAAAACTACATTAACCAGTTTGATGAGAGTATTTCGAATTATATATGAAAACACCACACTGTACCCTGTGATCGCATTACTGTAACACAGCTATGATTTAATAAAAAAAAAAGAGAGAGAGAGAGAGAGACTGTGGCTAATGAGCAGAAGAGTGAAGAACAAACATGGTTTAAATTATAAACTCATAAAAATAAATGCTAAAATATTACTTGCTGTGTGATAGATCAACAAACACAAGCATTAATGGGTTACATTAAAACTTACTGCAGTGGTTCACTGGGCTGGAAACTGGTAGTTCTCATAAAACTTTACTACCAGATGTGCCTATGGGGGGGTTCCGGGTAAGATTGGCATTTGAATCTGTAGCCTCAGCTGTGTGCCCTTCCCCCAGAGTAGATAGTTTAGAGTTCTCTAGTATGTTAAGACCCCAATTGAACAAAAGGCAGAAGAAGAAGGAATTTCCCCCTCCCCCTTTTTTCTTCTGCCTGCCTATATGAGCTGGGACATTTCACTGTGTCTTAGCCAGCATCTATGCCATCAGCTCTCCAGGTTCTTTGGCAGGGACATAAACTGAATTATGCCATCAGCTTTCCTGGGTCTCTAGGTTGAAGATGGAAGATTGTGGGACTTCTTGGCCTTCATAGTCACATGAGCCAATTACTTATAATAAATTCCAGTATACCCACGTGAGTCTGTGTTTCTGATTCTGTTTCTCTGAAAAACCCTAAAAACCCATTTAGAAAATTAGACCATATTTCTCCTTTTCTTGGAATCACAAAAATGACCAGCGTAATTATTTACAAAATTTAAGGTTACAAAGTTCAAACTTCAACAACAGTTTAGCTTCTGCAGGAGACAATATCTGTAAAACTTTGGTAGCACTAAGTGGTTAATCTAATCACACTTTACAAAGGCTAGCATAGTCTTAATGTGACAGTAGCACAAGTGAAAATTGGACTTTGTGGCCCATACCAGAGAAACTATCAAAAATTAATTCATTATAATAGTAGATAGAATCTCATCATTCTCATTTAAAACATCATAACACTTTAATAAGCATACTCCAAGAAACAAACATGGCTTGACTTGCACGGTGTTGGCTAAACTCATTCCTCTCTCTCTTCTCCTCGGCATTTCCTGGCTCTGTTCTGATCACCCCGCCTTCATGGGCTCTGTCAAGAGTAGGCACCCTTTCCTTTTCTTGCTGTCACCTCCTTATGGACTCAAGACCACCTCTCCAGCCCCCAGTCTATTCTCCAGGTGGCCACTGGATGCTTTTCTGCACACAAAGGTGATCATGCCAATCCCCAGCTTGGTGGCTTCCCATCAGCTACAGAGTAAATCCCAGGAGTTTAGCACAACCAGCAAAGCTCCTGAGGCCAGATCTGCTGCCCTAATTTGGCTTCTCTTGAATGGAGAGCATGAAACAAGGACAAGGGTGCCTGCAGTTTAGTATGAGAGAAGAGAAAGAGTGAGGCAGGAAAGGGCTGCAGCCAGTGGAGGGTGTGTTGCTGAGTTCAGGGCCGACGCAGTGTCTTCCTGAAAGACAGGAGGTGGGATGTTTGCCATCAATCCTTCCCCCTGTTAGTTGAGGGTAGGGCTTCTTCAGGGACATTAATTACCACCCAAGCCACTTCCATGCTGAGCCAAATCCCTGACTTCAAGCAAAATCCGAAGGCTGAAAAGCTGGAAGACACCGCTGGAGCTTGGAGCCGGGGGGGACTGTCCAACACAGCCACACCCAGAGCAGAGGAGAGTCAAAGAGGTGTGGCACTGGGCACTAGTCTCACCTGCTATACCTCCAAAAGCAGCCCACTACCCCCCGACCCCCACACCAACTGCGTTTCATCCACACCAAAGCACTTCCTCGGGCATATCAAGGTCCCTCCAAGCCCTTATTCCTACCCCAGCTCTTCTTCCTGCTAAGAATGCTTTTTTGAATCTGCTACTCAACCTTTAAACTTCACAAGAGGCAATATCTGATCCATATGCCTTTCTATAATTCCTTGGAGATTTTCCGATCTCCTTCATGTCTACTCACAGCGTAATTGTCCAAGCCTTCCTCACAGCAGCAGTATAATTATGTGTCACTCTGCTACACTTTACAATCCGTGAAGATGCAGCCAGCCTTTTCATACCTCTCTTCCTGCTTCTAGAACTAAATCTGACAGAACCTCAAAGGACCAAACATAAAGACGCTTACTGACGGGATGCATGATGAATCGGGGAGAAAATATCATACATGAGTTTTGTGCTTTTTTAATAAAAAGAAGTTCAACCCAATTATTAATATCTTCTCAATCTTTTGGATTATCAAAGTTTTCATCAAGAAATACCGTGTTGCTCAAAAGACATGTCTGTCCTGCGTACTAACACCAAAAACAAGTTAATAAACAGCATATAGTCTGAGATTAATTCATCTTTGCAAAGAACTTCTCCAAAATCCGTGATGCCATATGGATTAAATAATTCAGCCATATTATACATTATGTATCTGCATTGTTTAATATTTAGTACTCATTTTGTTCAAATCACTGTACCAGGTGCATCTGTAGTTTACTGTTAACAAAAGGCAGCCTCCTCCCCACTGCAACAAAGATATATTTAATCATAATTTGAGAGGGAAAACACAATCATATAAAAACATAAAAATCCCATAGCAGGATCCTAATGCAGTACATGGAAAAACCAACATGATCGGTCCTGCAGGTGTGAGTTCTCAGTTTGGGCGCAGGTAGGTGCTAACTGTGAGCACAGCGTAACCCAGGCTGAATTCCCTTCATCCAACAACCGAGCAGACAGAGACTAAATCCAGCCCATGCCGAGCCCTGCAGCAAATACCAGCTGCCTGTGGCGACCACCATCACGTGCCGGTACCACACCAGCAGGGGCTGCACTGGGGTTCCATGAGCGGCTGATATCCCACTGGTACACTATCTATCTACACCAGCAGCCAAAGTTACGACATTTTGAAACTCAACTGAGTGGCAATGCCCATTATCCTTGGATGACCATAGATGTAAGGTACAGAAACATCTGGAAGTAAAATGCATTTATTTAACTTCACCAGAAAAAATATCTGATTCTGGGTGGGAAGATGATTAATTACCAGCATCATTTCAGCACATAGAATTTAAGAGTTGATGTTAAAATTACTGTATGTTGATTAGGAGATAGCACGTTATATTTTGTAAAGTGGCTTAGTATACTGGGAAAATGAGGCTTTTTGTCAGTGGGACCTCACCTTTATAAGTGAACTGTGATTTTTGTATAAGATGGGGATGATAATAGCCACTTTTGAAGATCCTTGTGAAAATTAAATGATATAACTTGTGTAATACATATAGCCCAGAGTATAAAGTCCCTTTAAAAATGTTTTCTCTCTGGTCCATCAATATACCATGTCATCTTTTAAAATGACATGTAATCCCCAGTAATCAGTAAAGCAGCATTCCCGCCAGTAAAACTATGTTAGTGTCTCTCTTCGTGCCCATCTTGGACAGTCACACGCATCACAACTATTTAAATATGTGCCCTAAGCCAGGGAGGTTGGCTGCCCGTACCTGTCATGGCTTTCATCAAGGTGTGGATGCAGGTGGTCTTCCCTGCCCCGCTTGGCCCCAGGGCCATCATTCCATGCCTCACCCTCTGCGTTTCAAACAGCTGGATGACTTTCAGTTTCCAGGGAGGGTGGTTGATCAAACCTGCCTCTTCAACCTGACAACATAACAAAAGCCCCACATTGAAACACATCAATAAGGATCTGGATGTATCATTGTGCTAAAAAATAGAGACAGGAATATAGGGAGGGGGATGTATTCTTTTCAAACTTAGAGAGGGATTTATTGTTTTAATATATAAATAGGAAGAAGGAAAGGGGATTTATAGTTAATAGGTACAGAGGTTCAATTTGGGAAGATGAAAAAGGTTGTGAAGGTGGATGCTAGTGACAGCTGCTCAACCATCTGAATGTACTTAATGCTACTAAAGTGTATACTTAAAAATAGTTAAAACAGTAAGTTTCATGTTTTACCTTTACCGCAATAAAAAACACCACATGAAAAATACATATACACATAAACAAAGGTCAGGTTCAACACAATCAAAATGTTATCCCAAGCTAATAAGAAACATCTGCATTTGTCTTTGGTAATTGTATAACATTTACATTAATATTTTATCGAATGCACAGCTAAGGAACAACTTAAAGATTCAAGTGGAAAAATGTATTTCACATTTTAACTTATAAGACAATACTTATAAGTGGAAAAATTGATAGCACCCCAGGTTGATCGCAATTCCATATAAATTTCAAGCTATCTTTGTAAATCTATTGTGTAGTTTTTATCTATCAATGTGTATATAGAAGCGACTCTGTGCCAAACGCTATTCTAAGATGAATCTCATTAATAATATGATGAAAACGGTACTATCATAGCTTCATTTTACAGGTAAGGAAACTGAGGCACAGAGTGACTAAGCAATTTGCCCAAGTTGATCAACATGTAAAGTTAAAGAATGGGGATTTGAGCTAAGAAATTCAACTCCCTGGTATATGTGTTTAACCACTAGGCTATGCTGGAATGTACAGGACAGGATGATTTTAAATTTACTTAAATAATTTTGGATAACAATTTATATATATCTCTATGTATTTGCTCATCAGATTTTGTCTATACTACAAAGTACCAATGTAGGTCATTTTATAAATTACTTAATACTTAGCTTTTTAGGCAGTGCTACAAAGAGTTTAGCCAAAAGATGAAGAAACTATTGTAAGAAAAGATTATCACTCTTCCCTAATCAGGAAATTCATACTTTCATATACTGACTTTCTAAAGGAAAATATACATTTATTTTTCATTACAAATATTTTCAAGGAATTGAAATGCATTTTATGAGCTAATCACCACTTCTATAAAATAACACTTTTTTTTTCCAAATCCTTCTTCATAGAAAAGGAAAATGAGGCAAAAGTTTCACATGATTCATTTTCATTCCCAGGAAGACTATAAAAAGTTAAAGCTAAAAAATAAAAGTCAAGCTGCACTAAGCATTAGGGGAGTCCAGACGCATAATAATGACACACACAGGGTGGATCCCCCACCCCAGAGCCGAAGGAAGAAACCACAGGTGCCGGTGGGGTAAAGAGTGATTACTGAGAAGCCACATGAGATCACTACAAGTAACACTCAGGCAGGACTCTGGAGAGGAGGCAACGCGCAAATGCCAGGCAAACCTGAAGCCAGCCACGCTCAGGAGAAGTCCCAGCTCAGGAGAGGTGACCAGCTCAGGAGAGGCAGCCAGCCGAGCCGTAACAGCTTTTCATTTCTGAACCTGGTATGGGACACCCACCCCACTAATGTGGCCACTTGAACTTCACTAACTGGACAGGTGCTTCTGTGACAGGAGGAGTCCCCAGGACACGGAATGTTCCATCAGAGGTGCAATGTGTGTGTGTGTGTGTTGGCCCCTCCTAAGACAGCAGTGGCAGCCTGGGTGTCATCTGTGCAGCCCGCAGGTTGGCAGTCCCGCTGCACTCAGAGGACACTGCACTGTGAAACACAGTACCTGTCTGCTAATTGCTGCTTCCAGCTCAGGGTAACCAGCTTTGTCCAGAAGAATATTTGGGAAAAGATCTTCAATCAAACTCAGAAATAAGGGTTCATCCTCATCAATCTAAAAAAGAGAAAAGAATGGGAAATCAGACCAATTTTTCTGGCACAAAGGTAGCAAGGTACAGATAAATTGAAAATGTCTGACCCAGACCAGTTTATTTCAATGTGGCTATTGATAAACAAAATATCACCTCCATTGAAGTTGAGTATCATTTTCCTCATCTTTCCTATAAATTAAAAAAAAATGAAGAGAAGAAAGAGGAGGAAGAAAAAAACAAGCAGCAAGAAAATGGAAGGAAAGAAAATACTGAAAACACATGATAATCTTTCCATAAAATGGCCAGTTTAGGGGGATACGTTACAGTCCACAATTTCTAATTCACATTAAAAAGAATGTTTTAAGTGAGCAACAGTAACAAATTCAAAAATTGGAACTTAGCTCATACATTGATTTTGAGATAGATCCACGGATATTGGACACTGGTTTTCAGTCTCCATTTGAAACAAGATTGTGAAATGATTACACAGTTGTAAAATTTACATACTATTCCCTACCAGGCTCTACAGACTTTAAAGGCAAGATTTTAGTTCTAAAATGCAAAAATGATTCAAGGTATTCAGAATCTTAACATGAGGATTTATTAAATCCATTTTAGTTCTGTTAGAATAGGTACATTTCAGGACAGATAGGAGTCAAAAATAACTCCCGAAAAACTGTAATTTAAAGCTATGCTTTCTAGCACATTGCCTGATAATTAGGCATTTTAAATGAGCATTTTAGATAAATATTTCTAGGTCTCATGTGTGCTTCGTTAGTTGAACTGATATTTAAGAGGGTGGAACGTTTCCATCTGTGAATCTCACCAGCTTAGAAAGATTCATGTCTCGCAGAACACGCATGACAATCATGGACTCCGTGTCTGTGGGGTTGGCTCTTTTTGCTGCTCCCAAGGTCCGGAGCACTGACAGGATGTTACGCAGACCAAAGTCATAATGTACCTGAGAAAGAGAACACACCGGGCTCTTCTCAACATTCACCTCCTCAAGGCAACTATGTGAATTTGATAGAAGTCTTATTCACAATAATGACTAGATGCTGGTTTTCCTTTAGAAAACGCAAACAATGGAGCAATGAATTTCTTTATAGGTACACTTTTTGAGCAAACAGAGAATATCCAAAAGCATCCTCCATGTGCTATCCTGAGCGTAAGCTCTCAGGTCACAACTAACTGATCTAGCTGGACGGAAAACCAAGTCAACTTCCTTTTGGAGTACAAATGTCCCCTTGAGCTTCTTCTTAATTAATCATATGCAAGGAAATTTACTCATATCCCTAAAGCTAAAATTTAAATTTGGAAACAGAATTAAACTGGGACCGCACTCATGACTGTCATAGATAGCCATAGGTATATGGATACATATACACACAAGATGTCCATAAAATTCACATGCAATTTAAAATAATGTGCCATTTTAAATTGCACACAAACTTTATGGACACCTTGTACATACATACACACATATATGTGCCTTTTTACTGATAAATAAGAAGATGAGATTACTGAGGAAGGTAGAAAAGCAGCCTCACTTCAGGATTACCCGGAGGAGGAGAATAAGGATAAATCAGGAAGCTGAGTTCCCAGCTTCAGCAATCCCTTGACTCAACCATGCCAAATTTCAGCATATAAAAAGTGAATGATTAAAGTCTAATCACCCAAAACAATATGGCTGCTCCTCAAAAGACTAAATGGTCAGAAAATAGAGCTACCATGTAATCCAATAATCCTACGTCTGGGAATAAATGCAAAAGAATTGAAGGCAAGGTCTCAGAGAGATATTTGCACAGCCATGTTCACAGCAGCACTGTTCACAATGGCCCAAGGTGGAAACAAACCAATCGTCCACTGACAGACAAAGGGATAGACATAGGCAGCAGAAGCATATAGTGGATACCATTCAGCCAAAAATGGAAGGGAGTCCTGTCACATGTTCCAGCATGAATGAACGTGAAGAGGTTATGCAAAATAAAACATCTCAGATACAAAAAGACAAGTGCTCTGTGATTCCACTTATATAAGAAAGTGGTCCAATTATAGAAACAGAAAGTAGCATGGTAGTTACCAAGGCCTGGGGAGGAAGGAAAGAGAAGTTGTTTAGTGGGTATAGAGTTTGAGTTTTCCAAGATGAAAAAGTTATGAAAATCAGTTTCACAACACTGTAAATATACTTAACACTACTACACTGTATGCTTAAAAGTGGTAAGTTTAATGTTATATCTTTATACCACATTTTAAAAATACCTATAGAAAAACAGAAACAAAGTACTCATCTGATAAGGTATTGGGAACAGAGCTGCACTTAAAATTAGTCATTTGGAAAATGAAGCACATAAAAATATTCACATTGAGGTCCTGTCATCAGGAAATTTAAATTCTAAGATGATAAAATGAAAATAAATAAACTTGCATAGAAGTAACAAGTGTTGGTGGGTAAAACTGATCCTAGGAAAGCTTCCTTTCAGAACTGAGCTCTTAGTTAAATCAGTGAGCATGAGGGAGAACTGACAGAATGCTCACTGAGAGATCCGTGACACCGATTGTTTCATACACATCCATCCACTCATTGCATTTCACAATGATCTGTGAACATGGGTTGCAGGAGAGAAAATAGTTGCAGCGGTAGTGAAGATCACAGGAGTTAGTGATATGGGAAATTTCCACATGCACAAAACAGCACAGAAAAAATAAATATTTCTTTGACAGAGGGAAAGATAAGAGGGAGGAGTGAGCAAAGGCTGCAATAAGCAGAAAAAACCAAGAACATTGCCAACAAAATGGGAAGAGTTAGGGTCAGGCTAACCAGGCAGGCTCAGTGGCCAGTGTCTGAACCCTCACAGAGAAAGAACTTTTGAGTTTGTTTGAATCTGTGGGTATAAAACAATCTAAATTTGACGACATTTGTAACAGAAGACTGAGTGATGAGAGGGACTAAAGCATTACATATGTTAGGAGGTGTTATCCCTGTTTGCCAGTGATATGATTTCTATCTAGAAAATCCTAAAGACTCCTCAAAAAGACTCCCAGAATTAAAAAAGAATTCAGAAAATTCTTAGGTTACAAAATGGATGTACACAAATCAGTAGCATTCCCATACACTAATCATAGTCAAGCTAAGAGTCTTATCAAGAACTTAGTGTAATTTATAATAGCTGCAAAGAAAATAAAATACCTAAGAATATACTTACACAGGAGATGAAGGATCTCTAAATGGGAAACTGTTAAGTACTGTTGAAAGAAATCATAGATGAGGCCCCACGTAGTGGCTCACTAGAGACCCCAGAAACTCCTAGCACTCTGGGTGGTTGAGATAGGTGGATTGCTTGAGCTAGGAGTTTGAGACCAGCCTGAGAAAGAATGAGACCCCATCTCTACTAAAAATAAAAAAACTAGCTAGGCATGGTGGTGGACACCTATAATACCAGCTTCTCAGGAGGCTGAGGCAAGAGGATTGCTGGAGCCCAAGAGTTTGAGGTTGCTGTGAGCTAAGACACCACAGGCACTCTACCCAGGGTGACAGAGTGAGACTCTGTCTCAAAAAAAAAAAAAAAAAAGAAAGAGAAAAAAGAAAACATACATAACACAAACAAATGGGAAAACATCCCATGCTTATGGATTAGAAGTATTAA